TTACACTTTATAGTCAACCTTATCCTTAATTCAACTTTGCATCTTCATTTATTTTGTTTGTTACTTTGTTAATTCTGTGTTTCTTTCCACAGTACACGTCAAGCATGAGAGCCAAATACCTGGCCAACAGCCGACCGGAACCCAGCAGCTCCACCTCCCACTGAAGCGCCCTCCTCCTCCTCCTCCTCCTCCTCCTCCCCTTCACGCCTGCAACTCCATAACATAATACCACTTTTTTGTTTTTCCTCCACAATTTCACAAATACGCCGGTCTGATGTTGAAGTCAAAAACAAAGAACGGCAACTTATACCACTGGACCAGATCCGCGATGGTACTGATGGAGCTGAGAGTAGTGCATTTTTAAAACCAACTACGTCAACGTTTTGCTTGAAGGGTACATCGATACTACTGCTAGTCGTTCTGGTATTTTGTTAAGTACTGTATTTTCACTCACTGTCTTAGAAGAGGAAGAGCCTTACGTGTTGTATAGACATTGCACAGTAGATTCTAATTTTAGACAACTCATCTCACCATCTCAGGTCTTTCAAAGCCTCAAATGCAAAATGGGACTTCTGTCGTACCGCATCACGCGCCGTAACGCAATTTTGTCCGTCTTCACCCAAAGCGGGACAATTTTCTTTCTGCACGTCTTTCTTAAACAAATGTCATGTTTTTATGATTTTTTTTATTTTATTTTTTTAGCTTGGACTATTATTTCCTCTTGCGGCTTATTTTGAAAACTCTTCTTGCGCCTTGTTGAACCGTGAGCTCATCCCAACGCGTGAATCTGCAGAAGACAAAGAAAAGTCGTGTTTCCCAACGGCAGCTTGTGCGTTTGATGCCGAGACACGAGAGTTTGATTATGTGTGATGATAGCAGAAGCACAAACCTTGCACAAACGAGGAACTTTGTGTTTTTTTTAACTCGCCGGTCGCCCAATTTATTTCTTGTCATTGTCACGCAAATATCCTTCATCTTGATTTGCATGAAAGTTCTGCATCCATTTGTTTATTTGGCCTGGAATTGCACATACAGTGACCTCTAGTGGCTGGATCTAGCGCAAAAAAAAAAAAAAACTGAAAAATGCTCAATCTTTTTAAATTAAACTCCTATTATTACTATATTGTAAAAAGCGTCCATAAGGATACGTTTACGACAACTCCATCCTTATGCAATGGCAACGTGGTGTCTCAAAAATGTGTTTTAGCATTTAACATGTAACAGTGATGCTGTGAAGGGACCGACGTAGAATCACTTATTGTTTGTCCAGCTTCAATCAATACTGAAATACTTGCATCGTATCTTTTATTGAGAGCAATTCTTCGGATTAGGGGGAAAAAAACAAAAACAAAAAAAAGCTGTGACTCTTGACTTGCACAAGAAAGTAAACAAATTCTCGTTTGTGTCAATTTTTAGGCGAAATGTGGAAGTATATAAAAATGAGCCTGATTTTTGTATTCAATTACAATCCCTGTTGAAGTCCATTCCAGTAAAAATGTTTATGCATCGCTGTACATAATATAAACATTTAAAATCTCTGAAGAAATAAGTTTGATTTTCTTTTCTTTTTTTTAACCTATTGCTTAATTTTTTTTATTGTTTTTAGCCTTGTTTTGTTCACAGGTCGATGATGGTTCATTAATGTGAATAATAGACTTTATTTTGTTTTTAAAATGACTGTAGTGTTTGTTTATACCTTTTTTGCAACTATAAAATGTGTACATGTAAAAAAAAGCGGTGTTGTTTTTGAGCTCTTGTCCCGAAACTCTTTTTAAAGCCACAAAGAGATGGTTCAAAGTTTTCACTGGTAGTAAAAGAAACTTGTTTTAGTAATAATAATTATCTTGTTTTTCTTCATAATTATTTTTACCTGCAAAAGAAAAAGTGACTTTTTGAGGACGTGGACATCTTTACTGTTAGAAAAGAACCTCCCTCTAGTTACTTCGACCATGACATTACAAGATTTATCACATTTCATACATGCAACTCCATGTGCTGAACAGGTGAAACATAAAAGTCCACAAGAATGACGGTCTGAACAAATAAGGAGTTTCTTCTTCAGGCATTCAATGGTTGAGCACTCCAGGTATTAGGCATATATTTGGTTTAATGGACATTGATAATCATGATTCACATAAAGCAGCTTATATCATCACACTCGTTTGCTTTTTGAGGTCCTGTAGTAGGAATTGGACACACATTATGATATACCGTGTTAATAAAATGCTCCAATCACTGGATTTTTAGAACAATCAACATGTCGAGACTTAATTCATCAGACAAATTTCGTTATATCAAATACAGGTTTAATATTTTTTCTAAATATAATAGACACATTTTAAACAAAGGTGCACAAAATCTAAAGTTTTAGAGTATAACAAGAATAAAAAACGCTTGCATGTCTGGGTAATATGGTTGTGTATGCATATATAATTGTACCAAAATTACCTGGAGTGTCCAGAAGAGGGCGCCGTAGCTTTACATTTCCATTATGGACTGATTTCCAGGAGCATGTTGAATCTCTGGCCAATAGTGTTGAATGAATGTTGTATTTAGTTTTTCGGGGTTTGCCCGGGCATGACTCTGTTTTGGATCCAGCCCAGTGACATCTGTGGCGGGCAGCAGATGGGGGCAGAGAGGGCAAAGGTCTCATGTCTGCTCCATGGATCTTTTATAAAGTGTTCAACTCACATCAAGCAGCTGCTGAGGCCAGAGTGACGGCATTAAACACCAGCTGAGTCTGAAAGAGCGTTCTTCCTGCGTGTATCCTTCAAAAGTTAATGAAATCCAATGATGTTGTGTTGCCCGGGACGTAAAAGGTCAACAGAGGTCTTTTATGAGAGACCAGTGCTAAAACTACTGTTTGAACTTGATTTGGGCCTGAAACGTTTTTAGATGAAAGAGGCAATATTTTATTTACACATTCCTGTCGCATTTAAAGTTTTTTTTAGTAGAACCATATGCATTAAAGTTTGAACAATCTTTGGTAAAAGTCTATCAAACGAAGAGTGCGATATTGTCACATAGCTAGACAGAATTGTTTTAAGCCAATTTGTTAAGAGAAAACATAGCTGGGTGCCTAAATGTCATACTTTTACGTAAGAAAGTGCATTAAACCTTTTCACATGCATGTATTTTGGCCTGAGTCACATTTTCAGACAGAAAAGAGAAAAGGAGAGGACCACCCTCACTCAGCCAATCAGCTCTCAGTGTCAAATAGTGACTCCAAGAGCTCTTTCTTATAAGTTGCCAAAGAAAACAAGTTTTCTAATAGAGGAAGAATGTTTTGTTGTTGTGCCATTTATTTATAAGACTTTTTGGGAAAAATACAATGTGTTATTTTTGGAAAAGGTGTATACCTCAGTTTTAAGGATGCCCAGAGTATGTCTAGTAGCCTTCTTTGTTCTATTTGTCTGGAGATAGAAGATAAGGGCAAACTATGAGATTATAAATTGCCAGTTTTATTGAATTGATCCTCAACCACGGTTTAACGAAGATGTAATATGATCTCCCACCATCCTGTGGTTTATTTTGGGAGGTGAACAAAACAAAGCAACAAAGCAATGCACAGACAAAGCCTGACTGAGACTGATGATTTGTCAAAGACCAAAGCAGCAATAGAGAATTCACACAATCTCACTGTTGAGGAAATTGAATTACTCTGACTGTGGCTGGAGCAGAGGAATGCATCACTAATGCTTTGAGGTGAGGAGCTGAATGCTTGCGGGTGCAGAGGAGGCGATGGGAGGAGGAGAAGGAGGTGTCTGGGGAGAGGGGGCTGGGTTAGACACTTCCTGATCTGACTCGGCTCTGTGCCAAGAGTCCAAACCACAGCTCCCATTGAATCGGGCTGAATGGGGAACAGCTGCAGGATGCCCGGGAGACGAGACAAGAAGGGCTTTCAGTCTGCTCCAAGCGCTGCCACAAGTGTATTCACCTCACAAGTTCTCTCATTTACACATATGTACAGTGCAGATCAGATACAGCAGGCATATTTAGGTTCTGTTCATGTTGTTGAATTCTACATGTATTTCAGTTGGAGGGAAGGAGCCTATATATACAAATGAAACAATTAAAAGAAAGTCCAAAAGCTCATCGTAATTAGATTCACAAACCCTAATATATGTATTCTTGTGTCTAAAAGTTCTTTATACTGGCTAATACCATGCGTTCTGCATTGCATATTGTATTGTATAAATTTTGTATTGTATTATATTGAGACAATAATTAGACCACAACTGATATGTACTGACAAAGAACAACTGCCCTCCACCACAAAATTTTAATTATTGGCTCTCTAGATATGAGAATTCTTGCCTTATTCATTTTTGTCACAGGTGAAAGAAAGTTTCTTAAAGTTCTATTTGTAAAATTAAATAAATGATAAGTGCAGATTTGTTTAAGTAAGTAATATTTATTTATATAGAGAATTTTGCAGACCAAGGTCAGCCAAAGCACTTTACAATGTTCAGAGTTCAGATATTGTTCCAATCATTCCACACACAGTGATGACAGAAGCGAGTCGTCGAACACACTGGCGCATCAGCTCCAATCAACACCATCCTCTCATTTACATTCATACCTATTGTACATGTTTTTAGTGGTAGGGGAAACCGGAGCACCCAGAGGAAACCTACGCAGACACGGGGAGAACATGCAAACTCCACCCAGAAAGGCCCTGTTCCGACCAGGATTCGAACCCAGGACCTTCTTGCTGAGATGTGAGAGTGCTATCCACTCAGCCACCGTGCCGCCCCCATGGTCCTGGCTTTGAGTCTCATACACCAGTGCACCTGCTCTGAGAAGTTTTTGTTTAAAACACTTGTTATTTGGCCTTTAAAGAAAAAAAAAAAACTAACCTGATACTCTTTCAATTATATAAACTAGACTAAGGTTTGCAGTTTTTATGACCACCATAAATTAGGAAACCGTTACCATAGCAACAATTTAGCCTGTGTGAGCTAGCTAGGTTAACTGTTACCTGCTGCCTTTAAAACATTATGGTGAGTGAAATTAGTGATTTATTCATGTGTATCTATAATTAGCATGTTTGACAGTTACTTTACAAGTTGTTTGACTATATAGTTTTGTCTGTGCATAATATTTTGAATGATCATAATAATAATTAATAATAATAACCTTGCTAGTGGTTAAACTAGCATTAGCATTAATTGTTAGCTAGTTAGCTAGCTTAACTGTTACACTTTTTGTTTCCACAGCCTCCAAAAAAGTCCCCAAAAAAGCAAAAGAAAGGAAAAGTTACTGAAGGTGACAGTGAAAAAAATGAAGTAAGCAAAACCTTACAGCATTTATATGTCAGTCTAATAACAACAATGTACATAAAAGGTCCTGATTTGAAAAGAGTTTGAGGCCGTAAAAATCACAAAGCCACTGGATATATGCATTAGCGTTAGATGCTTTCGGACTCAAATATGAGTCGGGGAAAAATGAAATACCAGGCTTGCATCACAGGTGTGTTGCACTCTTGATGTGCGTGTGGCTTTTTCATGTGTCTCTATAGTAGATTTTGTGTATTATAGCAGAGTTCCTACACAAGGCAACTCAACGTGCTTAACAAAACAATAAGGCATTACAATCCTAAATAATCACAGTACTTTAAAACTGTTGATACAAACCATGTTTGGTTCAAACTGTTTTAGCCTGGATTTGAGCTTGGCTGTCTCACATTTCCAGGAAGACTGTTCCAGGTAATAGCTGCATAAATCTTAAAGGAGGGTACCTGTTTTTTTAATATATACTTGCCTAATTCCAACAGCAGGATTCTTGTAAAAGTAACATTTACAAAAAGCAAGCCCTGGGAAACATTGAAATTTTGGCCTCTGAGATAATTGGCGAGTGATATTTTCCTTCTTTTTTTCTGTCTGAACGAGTGGCAGTGGCCAAAAAAGTACTTAGATTTTGTATGTCTTTATATCTGCTATCAAGCAGATGAATCGTTGCAGCTTCTAATCCTAAAAATGAGTGAATCTGGCAGTGAAGCGTTTGTCCTATCTATTAATTATCGTTACTAATAATACTCTCAACAGTTATGGGCCCAAATGATGGCTCTGAGAGAGGAGGTAGAGAAGACGAAGAAGCAGAAGGAAATTCTTCAACGCGAGCGGGACATGCTCACGGCGTCCTGGGAGGTCGCAGAGAGACGCCTGGAGGAGACACAGGCCCAGCTCCGTGTGAGGCGGCGGGAGAAGGAGCAGCAGGAGAACGACTTTCTCATCCAGAGCACCGTGAGGCAACATTCACACACATGGGCAGCCTTTAGCATGCAGTATCCTTTTTAGAGTTTTTCCTTGTCGATGCAGGAGAAGTGGTGATGACTCTTGACATGCAACCATATTTATGGACTTTTATCAGCATTTATGGACATTGGTCATCTGCCCCTTATGAACCAATGGCTCTATGAGGTGCTCAGAGTAGAGCCACTGCTGGCCTGGGAACACCTCGATATTCTCATGGACGAGCAGGAGGAAGTGTGTGTGAGCTTATTTTGGGCGGAATCTGTTTAAACTCCTTCCCCCACTACCCAGCAATGGATGAAGTGGAAGTAAATGGAAGACTGGACGATAAATATTTAACATCATAGTGGTAAGATAACGTGTATCTTACCACTACACCCTTGTAAAGTTGTAAAGGAGGCAAACGTTCTGGAAACTTTCCTCAAGTTCAAATGTAAAAATGACTCATCATTTGTATTTCTTTTTCTGATCTTTTGTTTTACATGAGACCCTTCCACATGGGAGAAACTCCTGTCGTATAAAGATTTGGCCACATGTTTTCTTACTAGCCTTCTCTTAAAGGTGCATCCCTCACCTGCCCTGGTGGCAGCCTGCTTTTTGCTTGAGTTCATCCTTGGGTGGCACGGTGGCGCAACAGTTAGTGCTTGTACTTCACAGCAAGAAGGTCTCGGTTTCAATTTCACTTCTAGATGAGGCCTTTCTGTGTGTAGTCTGCATGTTCTCCCCTTGTCTGCGGCGGTTTCCTCTGGGTGCTCCAGTTTACCCTACCACTAAAAATATGTACAATAGCTCCCTTCTCTTTGGAGCCAGTACTCTCCTGAAAAAGCAATTCTGAAATCTCAGTGAGACTAAACAAAGGTTATCCAAATGTTTTTTTAAACAGTTTTTCACTAAACATTGGAAACAAGCAAGTCATATCTGTGGAGAAGTGAGACTTCTCACTGTAAATTAAAACAAAAGGTTTTATAAGCACTAAAATCATCCATAATTACATTGGTTCACTGTGTTGAACCAAACTGATAGATAGATATGGAAAGCAAAATAATAACATATTATTAGTAGCCGGGTCACTTACAAAGCGGGTCACCACCAGGACAGTTGAGGAATGCACCTCTAACTTGAGTGGCATGTTTGGCTTCGGTGTTTTCCAGCGCCTCAGAGAGCAGCTGGCCCATGTGCAGGTGGAGCACTTCAACGCCCTCTCTGAGCTGAAGTTAGAGATCGCTGCCTCCCAGTGCTGCAGACAGGAGGCGCTGGTGAGAAGAGAGAATCAGCTGAGGCAGAACAGAGCCGCTCTGCACAGGGCCCTGCTGGAGCGGAGGAGCGAGGTGGAAAAATCCATCTCCAACATGACACGAGTGAGTTCAAACTGGAGCCCATCATGGAGCATTATGGGTTGAATGTCTAAATTTGAATAGATTACATGGGAATGTAATCTTTCAAAAAGATCCTTTATTCGTCCCACAGTGGGGAAATTTCAGTGTTGCATCACCGGTTACAGAACCGCAGGAATGAGGAGCACACAACGCAAGATAAATGAACAATAACTCCATTCTAAAATAAATTAAAATCAAATCAAACATCTATGGGGGACACCCAGCATTAGCATTAGTTACATCTTTTGACAAACATCAGGAGTTTTCCATCTTTATTCAAACCAATTAATGCAAAATATATGCTTGAATTTCGCAACAAATTTTTTTAAAAACCTGTATAATTCCCCAACAGAAGCACGAGGATAACGTGGTAGAGATGAGACACGACAATGCCACCGTCCTCGATCGTAAGTCTAACCCTGTCATCACTGTCATCACCTCTCATAGACGTTCATGTTTCCCTGTCCTGGTGTTTGTTTTCCAGAAATAATAGAGTCCAGAATGAAGAACTGTCAGGAGATTATTGCGGACCACAGACGTCTTCTGGACAAAGAGTTGGCTTCGACCTACAAACACATCCTTTCAAAAATTATCACCCGATTCCAGGAGGTCTTTGTAAGTGTGGAATCTGGCCTCTTTTTGGCATAAGTACCTTTATTTAAAATGTAAATATTTGTTGTTATGTTGTATTTAATATAATGCATATTTTGTTGTTCTTACAGACTGACGGGGAAAGGGATGATGATGAAGATGACGAAATGGGAAATCTGTACATGCCTTCTCAAGCATTGGAGCCATCTGACAAAGCAGAGGACAGCGACGACTAGGTCAGAAGTGCTTACACATGCTGCACTACACCAACACACCAGCAGGGGAAATAAAAAACATGTCTCAAAATCTACATTTAAGGAAACTGTGTCATTGTACTGGTCTGAAAAGTTCTATGTTGCCTACGTTTTATTATTGTTTTAGTGACATCCTGCCAAAAGGTTCGGATTTCAAGTGCCCAAACACCTGCTGATCCTCTATCATTATCAGACTGGTCGAACGCTCAACACTTTGAAAACATAAGTTGGATCTGGATTTGTTTACTTCATTACATTAAACGCTCCATTGTACATGTTTGATGTGTATTTACTTCATCACATCACATTAATTTAATAACAAAAGTTCTGATTCGCTTATTTCATTATTGTAATACGTCACCACGGTGGGGTCTCTTTAAATATACATCATGCCACACACAGTTTGAAATTACTTTTGGCTGAAATTGTTACTTTGTGTTCAATAATCCAAGACCTTTGTTGTATCTTCAGAACCAGGATCTGTAATCTGGCAGTAGTTAGATTTTTGGGGGGTGTTTTTTTGCAGTTGCTGAATTCTTTCATTTAAAATTCTTGCATTTCAAAACAAGCTATAAGAATACAATACATTTAAATGAAACATCTTTGCCTGAAGCAGCTCATCATCAGCTAATTCTCACGGAGAGTGTGGAGCAGTGCATCTCTCCCTTGTGTTGTTTTAGGATCTTGTGTCTGCGTTGTTTAGGGTTGTTGTGACATCGGGGGGGGGGGGGGAAGAGTCCGGAGCTCACCCCTCTTTTGTGACAGGACGCTGGGAGAGTGGGAGGGCAGCTGCATCCTGGGAGTCAGCGCTTTGCTTCATCACACCTTTGTCCCTTTCACCCCCTTTCTATACTCACTGTTCAGACCCCGGGGCTGGGGTTGAATGTGATCGCTGTTTAAAGAACACATAATCTTTAAAATAATCAGCGCTTAACCTACTGTTATCACAATATTCTGCCCTCATCCATAACCACCATTGGAGTTATTATGGCTCCATGTTATTAGATTTTTCTTGTAAAATTAAGCACCCACTTCTACCACTAGATGGGAGTGTTTTGCTATCATGACCAATTATTGTTTTATAAAATGTGTAAATAATAATATTAAATTGTGTTGGTTGGAGAATGATCATATTCCCTGACTTTTGGCATTTGGCAGCACACATTAAACTGATATTTTACATGGCACAAGGACTTGGACAAAGACTGTAACTTGATTTGACAGGACTTTGACGCGCCCAGGCCTGAGACGAGGGTGGACAAGGCGGTCCCTCGGGTCAGGACCGGATCTGGACCATGACGAGACAGAATAATAAGGAAACCTGTCACTGTATTTGGAAGGTCACTGCTTGATGGGTCAAAAAACAACTCCTATGAGAATAATTCCTGCTTCCCGCCTCTTTCACTCTACTTAGCACCAGTGTTTCTATTGCCACAATAATGTTTAAGAGCCAAATTGACACAAATATGAATTCATATCCCTAACAATGCTGATGCAAACTACTGTAAACATTGTATATCCATTTGCGGCCATCATATTTGGATTGGTAAATGCAATGTGTTTTGGAACTTTTTGTAAGGTTTTTATACCTGTACAAACTGTGCATAAAGAAGGTGATGGTGTCTTTGTGTTAAGAAATAAAATGTCTAAAGAGACATCTTGAGAACCACAGGGAGTTTATGGGTCTGTTCTGTTTTGTCTTCTCGTTTTATAGAGAGTCAGGGTTGAATGAGTTTCCTGCTCACTGTTTCACTTGGGCCATAAACGTGTGTAATGCAAGGACTAAACACGGGCCGTATTAAGGACAGAATGCAGAAATGAGAACTGAAAAAAAGAGTTTGTTGGTACTTGAATTAAAGCCACGTGTATCTAGATTGTATTCCATTCTGACAGTACCAGATTTGCCTCTCTTTCATAGTTCCATTTGCAAGGGTTTTTTTGTTACAATCCGTTACAAGAAAAATACATTGTTCCTATTGACCGTCCAAAAATGTAGTTATTCTGAAGGACTTTTCGAAATCGATTCTTCACCAATCGGACATTATAAAATCAAACAATGGAAACAGAGGTATCTTCAATAAATCTCGAACTCCAAAAAACACTGTATTTGGTAAAAAAAAAAAAACAAGACAGTGATCAAAGCAGCTGGTGTGGTACCTACCTTTCAAACAACAAAAAATGTACCAAATTAATCTGTAACTTTCTCATAATAAACAAAATAGTTTGGTTCTATCACTATGCATTCATTTTTGGCCCCAATCTCATTTTTAGATCCTTTTTTTGCACTTTTCAGACAGAAAAAGAGAGGACTATACTCTTTCTTACAAGTTTTAAAAAGGCATAATGTGTTAAAATAATATAATGAAGAGAGCATGTGGTGGTCTCATTTGAGAGACACTTTCTGTTGGGATAAACAAACTTTATGTATTATTGATGAAGTAATAAGTTGGGTACCCCAGCTTGAATCCAGGATTACTCTATAAAGTAAATATACAAATATGTCAAAAGTAAAAGCGCTGGTTAATAATGATTGCTCACTGAAGATAGGACTGGTCTTAAATGATCTTCCTTGAATGTGATGCCTCATGCGCATTCAAAGGCTCTCTCCCTCTGACTCTCTGCTCTTTTAAGTTTTTATAAAGGACTCGTCATGATCCAATGGTTTACCACTAACCCCGAGTTGGACCACATGTGAGGCTCACACGCCCCTGTCTCTGCCCAGATGCTGAACGTCTCCATGGCTACGGCAAACATCAAAACACACAAAAATGCAACTTCAAAGTCTGAAAGCTATGGTAAAATAATTAATAACTAGAGGGAAGGGTTGAGAAGAAGACCTCCACTAAATCACAAAGCTTGACAGACATGTGGATGTAGGTAAAAAAAATATCCCTCATGTCCTTGTGAGTTAGAATATTGCCGTAAGCTGTTTTATGCAAAGAACGGCTGCTTCTAGTTGGATGTGACTTTGAATTTATGCAAAGCAGCTGAAATGGAATGTCGAATCTTCGTTTGTGGAATGTTTTAGACTAGAAACAACAACCTGAATCAATCCATCTTTTTATTATTACTGCTAACATTGTACTGCTCAATAACAACCGTTAATATCTGATCTTTTTGAAGCTGTCTTAAGCATTGCCAAAACTAAATGAAGGAATATGTCAACAACTTTTCAGCAAGCAGGGATAAGAATAAAAAGTTCAAATATTTAACAATGGCTCCATCTGGACTAATATAAATCTAAAACTGGACTACAAAAGCAAACCTGCCCAGCATGCAGTCTCATTTATAAAGCTGACTGGTCGAAATGTTTGAGTGGCTTTGATCTATAGGACAATTTTAAGTTTAAATGAGCTGTCTGCCAGTCTACAGGCAATCTCAGTTCTTTGAAACATTTTGGAAATCCCCTGCCTGAATTCTAAATCAGTGAATATTCAACACAGTTTACTACCTACATTTTAACAAACAAAAAAAGCAATCTGGCATTTTCCCAATTGAATACCTGTCCCACAAATTTAGGAGCGCAAGCCTCTGCTCCTGTTTTACTGTTTGCCAACATTCTCTGAGTTCCCTCCACTCAAGAGCTGCCCACTGTAATGTTCGTTGTAGTGTCATGTGATACCTGGATTACGATGCCTTTCCACTCTGTTAGGAGGCAGCACATGTTGAGTAGGATTTAGACTCGGGCCAGTTGTTCACAGGCTTCACGCTGGATCAAGGGGGGCTGTCCCGCCGCTGCTAATCCTGCAGACAATACAGCCTGTTAATTGGAGCCTGGACTGATATAGGTCTGAAAAGTCATGCTGACAAGAGTGAGGACAGCGCCAGCGTAATCCTGCGTGTTTGGAGGAATGTGTGGCAGGAGTCCCACATGAGTCCTACTGCATTGTTTCACCGGTGTTTGATGGACTGCGGAAGTCTTTACATATACAATTAAAGGTGCTCTATGTGACCTTTTTAGTTTTATGGCTTTGCTTGATATATATGCTATTAAACTAAATGTGTTATTGTTGAAAAATCACCGTCATATATATGTGGTCTATGAGCGGGCTGCCTCATCACTGGAGCACCTGGAGGTTACTTTCTACAGAAGATAATTTCACTATTCATCTCAATGTGTTCAATGTGTCAGTGGAGTCTTCAAAAACACTTCCACTACTGTACACACCTGTGCCTCTGCTGATCAGTGGTTGCTTCACTTGCGATTTCCGAGGCTTGAGCACATCAGTCAAAAACCAATAGGACCACGACGCTTGCACTCAGGGACTTCTCTTGTCCTGACCTAACACACATGAATATCTGCCCCCTCGGACTGCTTTCAGCTCATGTAGCAACAGCGGGACATCACTGTTCATGTCATCAATTCATCACTTCAGCTTTCCCCACCGCAGGGGTTTAGACCCAGAGGGACTTCATAATATTAAACTCTATACCCTCTTGGGTATACTATATTTCTGCCAGGATCTAAAAGTACCAAAGTCATATCCAATATTTGCATGTACGACATGTCAATAAGTATAATAACTCATGCAGTAACCAATATACTCCATGCAAACCTAACTCAATAAACATCATTCTAATACATATTTTTGTCCTAGTCTTCAGATTGAACTAATCCTATAATCATTTGTCATGGCTTCATACTACTAAAATATAATGAGTGATACTGACCCTTTGGCTGTCAAGATAAACATGGACTACAATACTAGGCTATTTCAGCCTAGTATTGTATAATATTATTAGATTCAAGGTTAAATAGCATAAGCTCTCAAACGTGTGTTGTACTTAAAACACAATTTGGTCTGTTCTTGAGCACGTAGTTGCTTCCTGACCAAAACAAACACACATCACAGCACCCTTTAAGACCTGCTGATTTTCACATAGCATGTCCGGGTCGCTTTGATCAGGCGCTGAGTCACACACCAGCCTGTTTGTGTTTTAATCAGCCCGGTACGAACTGCTAACTCCATTCTAACACGTCTCAACCGGCTTCCTCTCGCCGTCATAAGTAATGTTGTTGAATTGCTTTGTGGGGGCTTGAAGTGTTGTCACCAGTGGCCAACAGGTAGTGAGTCCTCGCTGGCACACTCTGGTCGGACGGGTTTCACTGTTGTGTGTAAACTTGAGGTGATTGAGAATGTTATCACTTCAGATGATCTGTTAGAGCCTCTCTAACTAACGCTCTCTTTGTGGTCGTGCAGCTGCTCTGTGGAAGTGTGCCTGCTCCTAAAATTAGATGCTTCCTTTTGCCACATGACTTAAAGGCTGCAAAACATCTCGGAACATCCACAGCGTACGCAGGGCACTTGTACAAAGAGCATAACAGAGATGACTGAGGAGAGGCCGTGGCTGCAGGTGCTAAGCTTATTATGTTAAAGGAAAAATATGGAAAACTTGTTAGAGTTTTATGCTATAATGGCTTTCAACTTACAAGCTGCGTTTTGATCAATCCTAAAATAGAAATAATCCTAGAATCCAATTTAAAGATGGGGGCAAAAACTTAACCCCACTTTGCCCAAAGCCCCCACTGAAAGATCAAGGCTATGCTCACACTCAGAGAGCAGCCGTCCTCCTGTGGACTCACCACCTGCAGAGGGTCAGTGAGGGGCTGGTGCTATGAGACTTGGGTGGCATCTCTGACTGTCACCCCCCTGACCCAGAAATGGATTAAATGGTAGAAAATGGATGGATGGATGGATGGCAAAAACTTACTAATAAAAAAGAGCTCTCATAGTTCCTCAATCTCAAAACAGTTTGTCAGTTTTTATCAGCTTTTTCAGACATAAAAGTGCAAAATAGATCACTTAATCAGTTCTCAGACAACATGAAGTGGGCTGATTTGTTTACAAAACATTACTCTTTTTGTTGGTGCATGGTTTAAACCCAGCTCCATGTATTTAAGTCCTTGGGTAAGACACTGAGCATTCTTTTTATATGTCTATCACAAAACAAAGTGATATTGCTAAGGTTTAAGACTGAATTCTGATCCCGCAATGATAAAAAAAAAAAACACGTCTCCCAAACCAGAACAAAAACAGATTTCTTCTGAGTGATTGTTGGCAGTTATGGAAAGACATTGGAGAAGTTTTTCCTGCTATTTTTATGTAGTAAAGTTATTTTCTGTTCTTTATATTTGACAGGAAAGCAACTTGAGATGGCTTTGTGCTCGTCATAAATGGTTGAAGGAAGGGAAAAGTTAAACCAGCACTGCCGCAGTTTTGCAATGTAAGCTATTAGACCTGAAATTACTATGTCGAGAGTACTGTATTTCCAAATCCCAGCACAAGAAATGACTGTATTCAGAGATGAACTTACCTCTGTTTTCCATTTTGTTCCACGTCAAAACAAGTCTTTCAATGATTTCTATATAGCGTGCCATTCACTTTCAAACAGTTGCGTCATAAAGAAATAAAAGTCTGCTGCCAAATGAGAAGGCAGCATTTGAATTCATACATTTACAATATAACAAACGAGACAAAGAGTGTGTTTGGCATTGCCACAACTAGCTTTCCTCATCTTTCTACTTTTTCAGCGTGTTCCAAGGCCAAAGAAAATCTACCCAACAGGAAACACATGGCACTATGAAAAGAAATGAATGGCCTAATGTGACTTTGATAGCCATGACCTCATCTCAGACTTCTTCTAGTCCTAATGTAATGCTGTTTTGAAACTAATGGGCTGAATACGCTACTATATAATGTCACGGTGCAAGTAGAGTTTTAATGAAGAACAAATGTTTTCTTGCAGTCTCTTACAAATACAACCTCAAGACTTCAATGAGAGACTCGTTACTATAGCTACAGTATATCAACACACGCTTATTTGTCAGAGCTGTAGGACAAAAACACTATCTTTTTTTTCATTTACTTTGACTTAATCTCATATATCTTTGTGATAGAGGTGTGTGAATAGTCAAATCTAACCTGGCACTTTAAGATTCTGTCTCTACCATACAGTGTGTACTCGTCCTCTAAACTTGTATTTATGTATATATATCACATTTCTTAACCCGACTCCATCTTTATACTACAGTGTCTGTTTTAGATTGACTTTGTTTGTTGTAGTCTTTGCCTTTTCCCCTGTCCCACACTTCCTGAGTAGCAGCACTGGCATAGCCCCATGGGAACAGAGGTCTAAAGGCTTATGTGTAACACTCCTGTATTATTAAAGTGGCAAGCTGTGAATGTGCAAACAGTAATCGGCTCAGTGTGATCTCTATTCAAAGGCAAGGGGCTTTATGGCGTACTACAAATCTCTGAATTGTCATTTTTACCTTTTGTAATATGTTCCACGTCTGGCTCTTACAAGTACTACTTACTAATTATAAAAACTACTCGGTGTACTTGTAATGACTTAACTCATTTTAACTGATGTTGTCAACTATATAACTGTTTGCTTCTGGTTTTAGCTTCCAGTGCTGCTGTTGAGGTGGTTTTCCTGTGTATCGTTATTGTGTGTTTTCTTTTTGCCACACTGTAAAAACACATGCGAACGCTCTATGCCAGTGTCATGAACATCAGCTTTCAATTGAATTAGACCTTTATCTTTTGAGACAAGCTTGGATTTAAAAAGCTTTGGCACAATAACAAAAAAGTGGCATTTTCATTTCATTCATACGCACTAGAAAAATCCCCCCCTGATATTAGTGCTGTGCAGGCAAATTTAAATGTAATTCATTATAATAATTATATTAAGGATAATGGATCCACTGTATTGTTCAGAATCAAATCATGAGACACAGTCATGAGGACTTTGATCTCTAATGGGTGAGATTATTTTGAGTGAGTTTTATTGCTTGAAAAACATGACTATAATCATTATGATAAGCAAACAGAAATGAATAAGAAGCGATGGAATGTTGACCTTCCGTAGGTACATGAACACACAATAACCTCAACTGTATTAAAATATGGGATTCAAAATAAAAGCATGAGCAGACACAATTTAGTGGTTATGTCATTTTATTTATGCTTCCAGAACCCAGCATGGGTCCCTTCAATACCACAATCAGCTCTTATCCCTGAGGCCAGTATTGGGATGAACAGTTTGAACCCTCCAGATACTGGAGAATAGACACATTTTTTAGCACAGTTCAAAGCAGTACAACATCATTAAAAGCAAATGTAAACCATGACAAAGACGGGGAAGTACATTCTACAGTCACTACGCATTAAAACAAAGGACAGTACACAATACTGTAATCCAGATGTAAAGAGCAACCCAATATGGGTGAGAGAAACACGGAGGACACGCTCCTCCATGTGAACCGCCATGCTGCTCCTGTCAGGCTCTCAGACCTTCGTCTGTGTGCAACCTGCAGATCTGCTTACAAATATCACCTCATTACAAACCAAACTGGTTCTGTCTGCTATTAGTCTGTGCTGAGAGCCTGAGCAGGAGCAGACATAAATTCATTTAAACTCAGCTGTGCAACTTTCATATAAAACATTTCAAAGCAAGTCAAAAGCTGATTGTAACCCCAAATCAAAATCTCTTGTCATAATAATTTTCCCTGATTGTAACAATGCAAGGACTTTTTAAATTACATAATTATACATTATATATTTAACAGATACTTTAGAGATTTTGAGGGGTTAATTTAGTCGGACATTTATCTGAGGCCTGTCATTTAGTGGACGTTAATTAGATGAAGTCACCTAATACTCAAAGTGCTTTGTCCTGACAAGTCTCAGATTTGGTCAATAAGGGTTGCATTTGGAAATGTGCCAATAGCCAGCTCAGTTATGAGGGAATAACACTGTAAGCTTAAAACAAAAGACGTCTTCATACACTGAAGCATTTCCGGAGTCATCTGAGGAGAAGAGAAAAATAAACGCGAAATACGCAAAAGCCTACACAGGTCTGTACAGACGGTTAAAACAAAAACGCGAGAGTGTGGAGCTGGCAAAAGCTTGAATATGTGAGAATACATTCTATGAGAATCGCAGATGCATTTACAAGCAACATTTACACGACAAAGCTCAACTGATTGCCTGCAAAGCTTAACAATGAAAGCTTCTTCCTGCTGACGCCATGTTACTCGTCCCAGACAGTGGGCGAGATCCTGGTGTCAACAGAAGACATAGTCCCGAGGCGGGCCGCACAGCAGCCCAGTAAAACATAGACCGATCACGCTGTAACAAAATACAGCAGCTTCACGGTCTAATACCAAACACTGGTCCCCACGAGCCTTTCAGATACCGAGGCCGAAGGGGACGAGGATGAGAAAGGAGCAGTCACCCTAAAAGGCAACCTGAGGAGGGCACCACTGAGTCTCCGGGTTCAGCAGACAGTGCAGCGACTTGAACCTGGACACAACAACATCAATGGTATTACATGTATGATGACAGTATCAAAGTGAAAGCAGCAGCAATAGCTCAACAGTAGACTCTTACCTGGATGGGTCCTCCTCAATAGTGAAAGCTCCATTCAAATTGATGATGTTACTCTTATTTTCAAACATCCCATAACTGAGAGTGATCTGTGGAATTATAAATACAAAACAATGTAAAAATCAGCGAAGACTATTGAGACAAAAAAATTTCTAGCAATAAATAAAGTAATATCTGATTATCAAAAAGATGAACCAACAGTACATATTTTTTCTCCCACCAAAGGATTTCAGTCACTTTGTTTTTCCTAAACATTATTGATCTTTTTTTGTCGATATTCACTATTAAAACTGGGATACCTAACATTTCACATTCTACGTTGAGGGTAGACGTACCTGTTTGTAGATGTCCGGTTTCGACACCAGCTGCAGATTCTCCAGATGAGAGTGGAACAAGTTACTACGGGTCAGCGGGACGCCCAGTACCGACTCGATGATGTAACCGATGGTGCAGTCGTCAGGGAGACGGATTTTCTCTGCTGTGTTCATGAAATGGCCTCCACTGAAAAGAAATGAAAGACATGTTTAGATTTTAAAAACAAAATACATCAAAGGGGACAAACTAAGCAAAATGGGCTATTATGAGCCGAACCACGTGTCTTTAGATTACCAAAAGTTGATTTGTTTGATTAACTCTGTATTGGCCGTGCTCAGAAAACACGTTTAACCCATTTCTCTGAACGTACATGCAATTATTCAAATAATTCTGATTTATTTTTTCTTATCTTATCATTCACTTCTATGCATGTATGAAGTCTTAAGGAGCACTTTTAAACCTGAAGTCAATGAGCTAGATAGTCTGATCGCTGTTTTTAGAACAACATGAATAACCATCATCGATACTATCATCTGTACAACCTTCTAGACAAACCATGTTTCCATATAACCGGCATTGCATTTTTTTTCCAATATCTTTTAAAGTATGGACCAATTTAATTTGTGCCTGAAATAAAGATGAATGATGATAGTGTGTGTCATATTTCCATACTAAATGCCCTCGTTAAAATTCCTCTTTAAATCATGTTCCCTTGTTTTGCATATCGGTGTGCAGCTTACCTGGCCCAAGGGCTCATTTTCAGCGCCAGTCCTCGGCTCACACAGAAACCTGCTCCTCCAGTGGCAAACCAGAAGTTCACTGGTTTCTATAAAGATAAGAAAGCAATATTTAGAATACTGGAGATCTTACATTTCTACTGTATACGGTAAAGCTGGGGTACTGTTTTTTTTTTTTCATAAGTAATACATCTTGTGAATGTAAAACGTCAAGACCAAAACATTCTGTCTTCAGCTTATTAAAACAATGTATGTATCACCATTATCACTATTTGATATCTGGATTGAGAGCGGACTAAGGGTGGTCCTCTCTTTTTAACTTTGCTGTTTGATAAAGCTAAAAATCTAAAAGTTATCAAAAAATACATGCGATATTGATAGACCCAATCCGTTTTGAGAGCAAGGAACTAGTTTAGTCAGAAGTTTTATCTGTAGATTTAAAGTTTGGTACCCAGGCTTGAAATACATTTGCACTAAATCCAGGCAGCGTACCATTTTGTCTCCCAGTCTTTCTGTGGCCTCGATGGGTCGGTCCAGACTGGGCTTTCCGATGTACATGTCCTGGGTGTGAGTGTATTGGGACAGGTGTTTGACCAGAGTCCTCACATTCACGTAGTTGTCGTCATCCACGTGACAAAACCACCTGTGACAGAGAGTTCTGTTAGAAACCACATTTTTTTACTTTTTCATTAATACTTACTAAATTGTACTTACTTTTTACCAGACTCTATGAATGTGTCGTACTCCACAGCCATTTTGCAGGAGAGAGCTTGTCTACTATGTGCGGCAGAGCAGTTTGTGTTGATCGCATGGCTCCCTGTGACAACAAAAGCAACTTTATAATCAACAGAACTTTATATAACTTCAAACAATCTGCCATTTCACTAAAATAAATCCAGCCCTAAAGCCAGATTTTTTATGGCTTCTAAGCAGACAAAATAGAGCTCTGTTTGAAGCATCAAATTCCGAACGTAAAACTCACCAATTCTTTTCTTCAGCTCTTCATCTTCCCCATCAGTGAATATGTACGTCTGCAAACAAGAATATCAAGATTACAGATGAGTGGGAGCGATTATTAACCGCATCACTTGACCAAATCATGTGGCGGGTCAGAAACAGGATATCCCCCTGGTCCATCAGTGTGTCTCGGGGCAACTCTGTCATTTTCCGCCTGGCGAAATTATGGCATCAATCATCACGACTATTGTACCATTGAGTTAAACAGCCCATGTGCTAATAAAGAGCCTTTGTCCTGTTGCATTTCACTCCCCATGGCAACTATAGAGCCGCCCTCAAGCATCCCAGACACGGGACAAAGCTGCAGGAGGCAGACTGTCCTCACCCCCATCTTTACTGGAAGTCCTGCCCCCTCACCCACACGCTCCGATGCAGCCCTGCTAAGGATGCTTGTAGTTACAGTGCGGTTTAAAAAGTACTAATACTACTTGAACGTTTGTACATTTTTGATATGTTGCTGATCATAAACGTGTATTTGCCTGCAAGCAACTCATTATTGACTTTTAATTATTTTAAAAGATTTAGCATTTTTCCTCTATATACAGTGGCTTGCAAAAGTACTAATGCTTTTATGTAGCATCTGTACAGTGAAAGCAAATTCATACATGATTATTATTATTATTTTATTATACGTGTTTTATGCTTTGTGGAGTTTTCAGGTCGTTCCACAGATTTTGGATTCAGACAGGGTAATTCTCATTAGGCAATTATGTCGGATTTATGTACATGCCCTGCTTTTCCTTGTAGTTGTTCATGTTTTTTAAAATAACAAAATCATGTATGTTGTCGCTTTGACTTCACAGTTGTCTGTTACTTTATCATGGTCATTCGCAAAAGTTGTGTAAGTACTTGTGCAAGACGCCATATGAAGATTTAAAAGACAAAACGCAAACAAAATCTCTCTGAGACAAGAATCAATCTGCAGGCGGGTGCTTGTAAAAGGTCTTTATGACTAACTGCAACATTTTACAACAACGCTATAATGGAGGACGTGAAGCAGGCGAAGATTAGACGAGATTACAAAGGGCAGGTGCGAGTCGGGGTGAACGGCTGGTCGACTCTGTAACCGCCAGTGTTTACTCAGCACTGCAGGTAGAAGAAGCACCTGCCGAACAGCACGCACAGCCACGTGTCTGCACATGCAAACTCGTGCTGCCCAGACCCCCGGCCACAAAAGAGCTTCTTTGTAAATTAGGATTGCAGTCAGTGATCCAAAAACGCTACAGTCTTCTCTCCTTTGTACTTGTCTATAGGCTTTCAATTACCCTGACAAAATGTTCTATACAAGACAAGTGTTCTGTAATAATTGAAAGTCTACAGCCAGATATTTACTTTTTTTTTACAATGCAGTCAGAACAGTTCAAATGAGTTCTGGCAATAAAGACAGACAGACAGTTACTGAACCCAGTGACATTGCTTCCCAGAACTTTCCCTACATATTCATCTTTTATATGTATTTCTAATTTGTTCAAGTTTGACATAAATATATATGATTTATTGATTTTACTAGACCTATTCTATACATGTCTTTTAACGTTTCAGGGCTTCGCTTTTTGTCAGTTTCACATAAAATTTCAGAAAAAATCTCTGGCGCCTGAAGGATTTTAACCATAATTTGGATCATTCTTCGTGGAAGCGCACAAGATTTGTTGCTTACTGTGAAATATGCCTGAGGAGTTGCACACTGTTAGGGTCCTTTATACTTTTGTCAACTGCAATAAAAAGTAAAAAGAACAAAAAAGTACATTTCCAAAGCCCCAAATGTGTTGTAACCAGTTTAACATGTTTTATTTTTACTATACATCCAAGTGACTGCTTGTTTTGAGGAGATTACTGTATTTATTTAGGGGAGAGTGCTGGTGGCTTGCCTACTCTATGGCCCTATTTGCTCTAAGCCTGTTGAATATTCATGCTAATCAGAAAGCAGCTGTCTGTGTGGAGCGGTGATGGCGGTGGGACACTGAAGAGGGGGGTCTTTTTGGTGCTTATTAGTAAATCAGGAGTAGTGTGTGGTCACTCACTCAGTCAGTCACCCCAGGCCTGCCCCCCCCCTCCCTTCCCTCCCTTTCCTTCTCTGGGCCTCTTCTATAGACAACAATGCTTTGGGTATGGAGCCTGCAGCCCCAATATGTTTGCACCTCATTAGCATACAGCTGCTGGGGTTAAAGCAGAGAGCATAGAGGGCATCCCTAGAGCAGGTTTTTTTTTTTTTTTTTTTTTTTTTTTTATCTTATCTGGAGTTCACACTAGAATATAAGTGTGTGAAGTGTGATCAGAGACAGGGGTGTATTGGCTTTTGGAAGTTTTGGCACTAAGCTGGACATGGTGCCTGGCTGGCTGTCTCCACTCCAATAGGAAGGAAGGGCACTCGCTTTACTCTAACTCCACCCGGCATGCTTCCTATTATGCTTTGTGCAACTTCTATAGTCAGCACTTAGTCAAAAACAATAAAATTTGCCTATATGTTATTTAAACGTTTATCTTCTTGCCTCGCTCCATTGTGCAGGCCTTCTAATCAGTCCACTGCAGCCGCTTGGTGTTTTTTCAACATCCTAAAAGCGCTCATTGTTGGATAGCGTCTGGGTAATTTGTGCTCTTGAGAAAGGAATGCATGGCACACTACGAGAGATGAAGATGCCAGCTGTCTGAAGTTTTAAGCAAAGCGAATTTCAGACTTTGGTGGGCCGTGGATACGTGCCAGTTTTACCAAGCGTGGCGCCAAAAATGTGAAAAGGAATAAAAGGTTCAGGGGAGTTCACTTGAAGAGGGGTGATGTTGAGCCACACTTTTGTTTTGACCACCAGGCACACAGCATCTGAATAGAGATAAGGGTCTAATTTAAATGCAAAGATCCTAAAGATTAGCAAAGCCTATTGGGATGTAAAAGTACCTGAAAGCTAATATATATAGTTATGCTTAAGAAAGAAACATAGATTTACATTTTCAATCAAATAGTTTTGTATTAGACCCAGTAGTAAAATCTAAGCTGATAGATGCAAGTATTTAGAAAATGTTTAAATGGTCTATAATGTTTCTGAAAATCTATCCCTAACTGAACAAAATGCATAAAGGATTTTGTATTTGTTTGTTGAGAATGTCCAAAACAGCTTTTAAGTTGATCAATGTCTTTATGCAGTCATGTATAATGGCTCAGGACATCATCTGATCATAGAGTCTATTGATGTATTTTGTATCAAATGTAGGAAAAATATTTGAGAAACAAGTGTGAGTTTCAGTCAGGAGGTAGTCAGCTGAGCGTGAGAATGTAACCTGGATATCAGAGGTGCACATATGCCTTTGATGGGAACTGGGCTGATCATATGGTTGGCATTATAGCTGTTCTTTTGTTCTGACCACCTGGCACCCTCTCCTCCATACTCCCCCTGGTATTGTGGTGCCTTTATGTCGTCCGTCTGCAGCGCCACCCGCCAGCTGCCCTGTCTATGACGCCTGCTGTTAACTTTATCACATGAGTTCACTATCAGTCATTACAACCAATTAGTGCAAGCTTTCCTCTCATATTAGCAGATGCTGAAGAGTCCAGGTAATTGATACTGACTGATAAGTGAATCTTCCTGCAGTTTGACATGAATTAACTCAGAAAACCATGTCCAGATCACTTGACTGACCATTTTATCATCCTTTGTGCATCCACAGAGGAGCTTGGTTCTCACGCCCAGCATGTCACTTTTCTGTCTGTATAGGCACAAAACCTTTGTTCCATACAAGACCCATTTTCAGATGATGTAGCATAAGTTCAACTCCCACAGGGGGGGGGTTAAGAGAAAATAAATGTTCTTTGCAGAAATGCTTTGTAAGTGTAAGGAAAAGGGAGATAAGGCCCAAAAAAGTGGAGCCCTGGGCTTTCACAGGGGGATTCCCAAAAACAAGGGGGTGATAATATAGAACAAGGGGCAGTGAGTAGGCCTCAGGGACATCACTCACTGGGAGAATGAGGAGTGACTGAGTAGAGGTGACAGGACTGAGGCACCAGTGTCACAGTCGAGAAGGACATATGGAGCACTATACATCACAAGCTCATTCAAAACTTTACAAACTCAATTCACAAGAGCAGTTTATGAAGATGAACAGTCAAATCAAACGTGTCATACCTGTTGCATATTCCTGGAGATCCACGTGTCCAGCAGCAGGTTGAGTCTGGACTGGTGGAACTTCTTGGTGGTTTTCACTGCGATGAAGATGTCATTGGCGCTGATGTCCTCCGCTGGCGCGGGGCTGGTGTCAGAGGAGCGCGCAGGTTTGTCCGCTTCTCTCCTGCCCCGCGTCAGTTTACTGATGTACGCGGAGAATCCTTTCTTATCCTCCACAACTGCTTCTCCTCCCAGCGTCTCCTCTTGTTGCGTGTTCCCGTGACTTAATTCAAAGCGGTGATGCTGAACTACAACTACCACTAACAGGAGACACAGGCACGCTGTGCTCGCTATAGAAATAGCCGTTTTCTTTCCGTTATTTTTAAACATGATCAAATCTGAAAAAAAGCCTAAAGTTGTTTAAAACTAATCTCCGCGGCGCCCCAAAGTCCATAGGGTAAGTATTTATCTAAATCCCAACGCACGGTCCTTAGGCGCGTGTTTCTGAATGGGCAGTGGGAGGCAGAGGCGCACGAGAGGTATTTGTAAGCTTCCCCTGGCCCCGCCCCCTGTGCGCGTGGGGGCCGTGACGCGCACAGGGGGCGGGACATGTGAGCGCGCTGGACTCCCATGGATCTGATTCTGCAGCATGGAATTATGAATAACCTCAGTCAGCTCACGCTAGAAAGCTTCCCTTCTTCTTTCACCACAATTTGTAATCCTCAGAATCTCACTAGGAGCCCATATTACAGACACATGGCTATGGCTCGAAGACAGTAATAAGCAGATTATTTTGGTATATACTTTTTGCTTTCAGAAAGTCCCCAACATTTGGATTTGGTATTGATTTGACATAAATAAAATAAGATATTTATATATTTTAAAAAGCAAAATATATTGAAATGTGTGTTTGCACCGAACAGATCTCCATTGTTCTTGGCCGACCTTGTCTGGCCTCTAAACAGTTGGCCATTCCTCGACACTTGTTATTCAAATTTTGGCTCTTGAAACTCTGTGCCGTCTGTCGTTGTTTGGGACGTTACCCAGAGAACATTGGTTTGCTTTAGGCCGACACGCAGCTGGTGGAGCCATGGATGCCGGACCTTGCCAAAAAACGCACCAGACTTCTACAAAACATTGGGACCTTCAGCCTATCAAACACTACTCCAGAACATAAAAGCTGGCGTATCTATCTTTTTTCACATAAATAACACATGTTGTTTGTCTGAACTATATACTACTATGCTTGTAGGTAATGTTGAGGAGGTTGCTCCTGCTGTTAGTGGTGGACAGGTTGAAGCGGCATACGTGACTTCCCACTTAGACTCTTCAGTGGGCCTTAATAAATTCATGGCTGTGAGCCAAGCAGAGGTGATCTCTGTGGTCACATCCTCAAAAGCCTCAACTTGCATGTTAGACGCAGTCCCGACATGGCTCTTCAAAGACATACTTCCTTTGATAATTGAGCCTATCGTAAATATAATAAACGCATCCATACAATGTGGCTATGTCCCACAAGCTTTTAAAACCGCGGTAATCAAACCCCTTCTGAAGAAAACAAACCTGGACCCAGAAATACTTACAAACTACAGACCGATCTCGAACCTCACTTTTATATCTAAAATCCTGGAAAAACTTATAGCTGAGCAGCTCCGCTGCCACCTGCAGGAAAATGATATGTTTGAAGTCTTTCAATCAGGATTCAGAGCTCATCATAGCACTGAAACGGCACTAGTCAAAGTCACAAATGACTTACTACTAGCTGCCGATAATGGACAAGTGTCAGTGCTGGTCCTACTGGACCTTAGTGCTGCATTTGACACAATAGACCACAGCATTCTACTGCAGAGGCTAGAATGTGATATAGGTCTTAGAGGAACAGCCCTTGGCTGGTTTAAATCCTATTTATCAGATCGATATCACTTCGTCAATGTGAATCAGGACTCGTCGCCTTATTCTGGAGTGGAATTCGGTGTGCCGCAGGGTTCGGTACTCGGACCGATTCTTTTTACTCTCTACATGCTGCCACTGGGAAACATTATTAAAAAGCATGGAATTAATTTCCACTGCTATGCAGATGACACACAGCTTTATCTGTCGATGAAGCCTAATCAGACAGATCAGCTAGAAAAGCTCAGTGCCTGCATAAAGGACCTTAAAATGTGGATGACTCTTAACTTCCTACTTCTCAACCCGGAGAAGACAGAAGTGATCCTACTCGGTCCGAAGCGCCTGCGTGACTCCCTCACTAACCAGATGGTTACTCTCGATAATGTCAGTATAATACCCAGTAACACTGTGAGGAATCTTGGAGTCATTTTTGACCAAGAACTCTCCTTCAAGGCTTATATAAGCCAAGCAACTAAAACGGCGTACTTCCACTTACGGAACATCGCTAAAATTAGGAATTTCCTTCCTAAAAGTGACGCGGAAAAACTCATTCACGCGTTTGTCACCTCAAGGCTTGACTACTGTAACGCTTTACTGGCAGCGTGCCCTAAAGCCTCTTTGAAGAGCTTCCAGCTCGTTCAGAATACAGCAGCTAGGATCTTAACAGGTACCAAAAGGAGGGAGCACATAACTCCGGTGTTAAAATCACTCCACTGGCTCCCTGTGGAGTACAGAATAAAGTTTAAAATCCTACTCTTAACATATAAAGCCATAAATGGCTTGGCTCCTTCTTATCTCCAAGACACGTTAGTGTCGTATCAACCAAGTCGAGCGTTGCGCTCACAAAACGCCAGACGTCTGGTGGTCCCTAAGGTCTCAAAGGTCACTGTTGGTGGCAGAGCATTTAGCTACCAAGCTCCTTTACTGTGGAATCAGCTTCCCATTTATGTTAAGGAAGCAGATACGGTCTCCACATTCAAGGCCAGGCTTAAAGCACTTTACTTTAATTTAGCATATAATTAGGTAATATATAATATGTAGTGTATATATTATATATATATGCTGTATTATGTTATATATTATGTTATATATTATTCAATAATGTATTGTGTTATGTTGTATATTATGTTATATATTATGCTGTATGTTATTCTTTATTCAAGGCTAGGTTTAAAACAGTCCTCTTTAGTTTAGCATATGGCTAGGAAGGTAAGACTCGGAGAAGGTTAAACTCCTCAGAGTGTTAGTCAAGCTGCATAGGGAGTCAGTTTGCTGGGAGAAGTATGGTAACTTGAGCACTATCCTCTCCTCCTTCCTACTTTATCTGTTTAGCATTTTTAGGATTCTGACTGTAGTTTGTTCATTGCTATTCACCCGTTGTCCCATTGTCTGTTTCATGGTACGATGACGGGATCTCTGAGCCTGGCCTCTTCCATCTACACCTGCGGACTGCCCCGCCCGACCCGCCTGGGAGTGCTTCGGTCCTGCACCGGACCTGTCCACGTTCAGCGTCCACTGGTCCACGTTCTGTAGCTAGCTTAGGTCCTAGATCATTAGTCTGTCCGTCCGGAGGAGCGGATCCCTTTCTCATATGGGTCTCCCTCCCTGTGGGTTTCCCTAGTTCTCCTCCAAGGTTTCTCACTTTTTCCCACTGGGTTTTTTAAGAGTTTTTCCTTGTCGATGCAGGAGGGTCTTGTTGGACAGTTAGTGTCCAACAGAAAGGATTGGTGATGATCAGGACACTTTAGCATTCTACAACATGTATGGACATTTTCTTCTGTGTGTGCTTTATACTGTATTCTTCATGTGTTTTAACTGTTGATTCTCTGACCTGTGTTGGTGATTTCAATGGTTTTGTTAAGTCCTCTGAGATGACTTCTGTTGTGACCTAGGGCTATACAAGAATAAATTGTATTGTATTGTGTGTATTGTGTACTATGCTTGTAGGTAATGTTGAAGATTGAAAGTTGAGGAATTCAACTTTTTGACACATTTTCAAAACGGAGATACCTGTTTTGGGAAAGGAACTGTTCATTTAAAGAACATTTCTGGGGGGAAAAAACAGGTCGCCCCAACTGTGAGAAGAATTTGAAGTAATGTCGAGTTTAATATTTCTAAAAAAGGCAAAGTGTGTAAAAGTCTTTGAACTGAGCTGAGATTTTGCAAGTGTTTTATGCAATCACGGGTCTCTTCAGTGAGAGGCAGGTGCTTTATTGAAAGTGATCCTTGGACGTGCGGGACATAAGTTAGCTCAGCGTTTTGTTCTAGCTGACGAGGGCTTTTGTTCAGTGTCTAAAGCCTCTAAACCAGACCAGTATAAGAAACCAGGCGGAGGGGGCCGTCTCTGCTGCGTCATTCTTTTTTTTCTCTCTCCAGCAGCTCTTTCTGTCCGGGTCCCAGGGCATTTGTCCATCACGGAAGCTCTTTTTCCAAAACAATGGCAGGAGCAGCAACTTTGTAACTCTGCCTGCTCTGTATTTGTGGCTATATCTGGCAGGTCACAAGTGAGAGCTGAATGCAGTAAACAGTAATGCTATGTTCCTATGTGCATATTGTTGCATATAAAAAGTTTGGGTACCTAACTCTTTGATCGTAAATAATAGATTCTCAAAGTTAAATGTCATGAACAAATCAGACCAACACATTATGTATTTATGTTGATAAAAAGCATGTACAGTATTTTATGTAAGAAAGTACTTTTTTGACTCTTTGGGCTGATAGCTCTCTTTTTCACTGTATTTTGAAGAAGTCATGGGTCAAAACTACAACAAAACTAGTTTGACTGTATAAAAAATGTTATAAAAAAGTTAGGAGTCCCAGCTTTAATAGGTGTACAGAAGGGGAAAACAAACACTTAGCTTTTTCATATTGCCCATGATTAATACTGTTTCTAATGAGGAATATAGGCTCTGAGTCAACAAATGAAGGTGGAAGCCCCCTTGTCTGCTGTCTCACAAACAGTAAGTTAAGGCATGCACAATGCCAAGAATACCTTCAACATGTTGAATAGTGTTGTGGATGAACTTAAAGCTGGGGTACTCAACTTTTAAAACAGCAAACAATTGAACTATAATCTTCTACATCTAACTAACTTTATAAAATAAAACAGTTTGATTCACTAGTTTTCACATGTACAGTATGTATTTGTGGCATCTGTCAGACTTTTTCAATCACATTTTTCAGACAGAAAAGTGAGGCCCACTCTCACTCAGCCAATCAGCTCTCAGCCTGAAGCGACAAAAAGTTTGCTTACAAGAATGCAAAAGATAACTAACTATATCTAACAACTCTATTCAATTCAATTTGGTGTATTTTTATCACATGGACGTGTGTATGTGTGTGTGTGTGTGTTTACTTAAGGCACATCATTTCCTTTTTTTAGTTTTTTTTGTCTCGCAGCACAATCATCATTCTTAACCCTACACACGTCGTAACCTTCCGTTCCTCATCTTATGTTACCAGCAGATCCCAGTGAGATTTCAATGTCCTCTTTTTACAGACCAGACCACTTCCTTAAACCAAAGCGCCCACAAAGCCAGCCATAAACAGCTCACAGATTCTCCCTGATCATATCAACATGTGGCCTGTGATAGCTGCCACAGTGACGGGCGAATTAAAGCCCCTGCTATTGATAGTTGTCGGCCATGCGTGTGCGGCAGGTAAACAATACGCTTTCTACTCGTGCACTAAAGCTGTCTCCACGAGCTGACGGGGCCCTTGAAGTTTGTCATTTCTCTCGCATATAAACACTGAGGAGACGTTTAACCCGTAACGTGAGAGTCTTCAACATGCCACTTGTTGGAAAACGCAAGATGTGGAAGGCATTAGCACAAAACCACATGTTTCTGTCTCATATTGTTTAGATTTATTTTCCATTTCAGACTGTTTGAATTCCTCCAGAGGTTTCCATCGCACTTTTGCCCCAGACAAAAATGCCTATTCGCTCTTTTTTATGACATTTTTACACGACCCATACACATATTATCAAATTATCACCCTTTAAAGATGTATAGATAATGTTTTTTTATGAATAGATCAACACACAATCAAAATAACTGCTTTTTTCTGTCAGCATTTTTCAAT